AACCAATTCCTCACCCACCGGACAGTCCACCCATCAAATCCATACCTCTCCAGTTTAGAGAGAGAAGGATGTTGTGGGGGACCGTGTCAAAGGCCTTACAGAGATGACATCTGTAGCCCTTCCCATGTCCACTGATGTTCACTCCCTCATAGAAGGCCACTAGGTTAGTCAGGCAGGACCTGCCCTTGGTGAAGCCGTGCTGGCTGTCTCGAATCACCTCCCTGTCCTCCATGTGCCTTTCCATAGCTTCCAGGAGGATCTGTTCCATGACCTTCCCAGGCACAGAGGTGAGACTGACTGGCCTGTAGTTCCCCGGGTCTTCCTTTTTTCCCTTTTTAAAAATGGGGCTTATGTTTCCCCTTTTCCAGTCAGTGGGAACTTCACCGGACTGCCACGACTTCTCAAATACGATGAGTAGTGGCTTAGCAACTTCATCCGCCAGTTCCCTCAGGACCCACGGGTGGATCTCGTCGGGTCCCATGGACTTGTGCACCTTCAGGTGCCTTAGATGGTCTCGAACCTGGTCTTCTCCCACAATGGGCGGCTCTTCATTCTCCCAGTCCCTGCCTTTGCCTTCTGCGGCTTGGGCAGTGAGGCTCGAGCACTTGCCGGTGAAGACCGAGGCAAAAAAGTCATTGACTACCTCCACCTTCTCTGTGTCCCAGGTAACCAGGTCTCCCGTTTCGTTCCGGAGAGGGCCCACATTTTCTTGTTTCTCGGGATAAAACCCCGACATACCTATAGAAGCTTTTCTTGTCCTTGATGTCCTTGGCCAGATAATTCATCTAATCCATTGGAAACTTAGTGCTACCTATCCCACCACTGCCTAGTTTGAGTGTGGAAAAGGGACCCAGTACCTCTGCACTAAACCTGTGGGTTATAACATTACAAAACAACATTCAAAGCTGAAACAGCACATACCTAAAGCCTCCTTCACTCCCATGGGCTTTAACTGTTCTCCATCATCTCTGCAGACACTCACGGCAATACAGTAAACCAGGGACTACTAAAAATAAAAGATCTCTTCAGATACCAAAGGGGTAAATACTATTCTAGAGAGAAATTTAAAAGATTTTGTTAGAGAGAGATTGTTTTGGCAAGCAGTGTTTAAATTAAAAGAAAAAAAAAAAGCTGAGTAACCAAGTGAAAAAACTTACTGTATTTCCTTAGGAAAAACCCACTCATGTTGTAAATTGCAGTAATTAAAAAAGCAAACAAATAAAATGCTGTATTTATGCAGTGATTTGAAGAAAAGCTGTTTAAAAACAAACATTAATGTGTTTGCCAAGAAACACGTGTACATCTAGATTAATTCTTTATGATGAGTAATTGCATTTATTGCGCATAATTAACAAATAAGTGAAAAGTTCTGATATTTCAAGTGTTTAATTACAAAGAGATAACAAATCTAGGCATTTTTTTACCATCCTTAAGTTTTCATGCAAGCTATTTAAAAGAAAGTATTAAAACACTGCAGAAACCTGACTTTAAGATTATTTCTATGAACTTTTGCTTACTGTAAGTCAGCCCTGCCAAGGGAAGCAAACTGCGGGGCAGCAGTCAGAGCTCACTGCCGCAGCCGATGCTGTCCAAAGCCGGCCAGCCCCAGGGAGCGGACCACGATTTCCCACGGACGAGGAGACGGAGGGCTACAGAAACCAGCTCACGTGAGAAGGAATTCGGCATTCACCTGCATGATGTTTAGGTCAAAACGTCAGCAGCCTTCAGACGCACGGTACAGGTAGCCGCCTGGCCGAACTTTGCCTTTCCAGGGGGTAGACTAGCAATCTGCGGCATATTTAGCTCAGTCTAAGAACAGATTATGCCATAAACTGCTGAACTGCACCAGCAAACGCTTCACGAATAACACAAAATCATTCCAATTACAAATCAGAAACATCCCGAGTTAAATTCGGGGCTCCCACTTGTGCTTCAGGCTGTAGCAACACCACTGACCTGTTAGAGACGGGCCGCACAGACTGAAAGGGCTGTATTCAATTAGGAAAACTCCTGGTAATATCAGAAAGAATTAAAACATTTATTGGGCATAAATATATTACATATACACTACAGATACAGTTAAGTCTTACATACATAGTGTAGTATTTGCAAAATCTATACATTAAAATTGATATGGCAGTTTTAATACAATGCATATGAAATAGTCTAAAATTTACAATACAAGAAAACTTATGATTATTTTTTTTTTTAAGTTGAAAAGCTTGGAATGTATGTTCCCATAGTGAGGTAAAAACATTTTAATTTTTTCAATTTAAAGAACTGTGCAAGGATAAGGTTCATACACATTCAGTTAGGGCACTTTTCAATCGTGACACCGAATACTGAGCTACCGTAGCCAACAAACAGGATTAGAAAACATTTCAAGTTCATAAAGAAAAAGGCAGAACGATATAAAAACAGCTCTCTCCTTCCTTAAGGGTTTTAAATATTTAGTCTTTCATTCCACCTTTTTTGTTGTTGCTGTTCATAATTCCTTTGAGAGCAGAGAGCCCTCGGGTTGGATTCATGCCTGGTATTGCTGGACCAAAGGGCATAAAGATGTATGGGAAAAGACAAGGCATCAGCAAACGGTGGGTCAGCGGTAATGGAAATCAGAACAGGAATGGTTTAAGGTCTGTGATGCTTTATTTTGTTGTTAATATACGAACGACGATCAAATCACTATGGCGGAATATACAAACTAAAAGAATGTCAAATTAACTTATTTAGGGCCTGTCCCAACTCCTACAGAATACTTGCTCTGATGTCCTCAGCGCAAGGGTTGGACGGGGCGCTCTCGTTAGTGTGATTGTAAGAGACACCAAGCAAATCGGCAATGACAGAAACGCTTCAAGTGTAACCGATTGCTTTTTTCTGCACTTCTGCTCGCTGCTTTTAGTATCATTTGTATTTCAAACTCTCAAAATCGATCAAATCATCTAAAGCAAGGTGGGTTTTTTTTTTCTTTTTTTATTAGAGCAGGTTTTTTTAAAAAGGTGTCAAGCTTGGATTTCATAGCAGCACTGCTGAAACCATATTCCAAAAATAAAAAAAGGGAATCTGTTCAAATTTCTGGGCTTCCAAACTAGCGGTCTTTTCATTGTTTTAAAAAATACGCTCTTTCCCCCTCCATTGAAGACAGCTGTATATGCTTTGCTCACAAAATACAGATGCAAGGTCACAAAGTTTCATATCACAAATAAATTTAAATAAGATGTAAATAAATTTGACAAGCCATGACTTTGGCAAAAACAAAAAAATATATATATTTAGCTCAATGCCATTAGTTTGCAAGGCTAAATTAAACTAATTATAGTCAATAACAAAATACAGAACATTTCTAATATTTGCTACATCTAGAGAGGCACACAGAATAATTCATTGATCTTAGCACTTCCTTTCCAGAGATGATTATGTTTTTGGATACATGTAAACGTTTGAATCACTGATAATGGTTTTTTTGGCATTTAATGTACTAGATGCTCCCATCTTCAGAAACACAAGAAAATGTAAGAAGATTAATAATACTAGGAATGCTGCCAGGTAAAAAGTTGACCTAAAGTACAACAGTATAAAACAGACAAAATATAACATGCTACGGGGAGGGTGGGGAGGGGGATTAGTACATAAGTACACTTTTTATTTTTTATTTTTTTACAATAAATAAAAGATTGCACTGTAATTGGTATTTAAAGTACTGTATGCAGTATATAGTATAAATAAACCTAAAACAAAAATAATGTTGTTTTTTCCCCATTACTTTGGTTAAGGGAATATTATGCTAGTACAGGACACTGAATCTTAGACAATGGAGACAGAGCACAAAATAGCTAGGACAAAAGCAAAACCAAGTAGCAAAAATATACAAAAACAAGAGGCAGGGAAATACACTGTGTCTGTTGCACCCTTTTGGAATCTATTTGCACCTCCAGCTCATTTATGTCCCTGAGGTACTCGCACAATGTTGACTTAATATAAATAATCCAATGATTGAAGAGTTAAAATTCTAGTATCTCGATGGATTAAAATGTGTATCTTGGAAGGGGCAGGCAGGAGGAGGGGGGACATTCCCATCAACGCAGGAGACTCATCTGAATTTTGCCATGTACCAAGTTATTTCAATTAGCCCTGTGGCAAGAATAGCACAGACACCCATTTAAGGTATTTAAAATAAACAGATCTCATTTCTGATACCTCCAAAAAAGTTCCATAAAATGGATACCCCTCCAAAAAATAATAATAATAATTAAAAAAAAAAGATCAACTGACAGTGAAGTTTGCTTACATCGAGTGTAAATCTCACCTAATTCAGTAGAGGCAGTAAGCTGTCACCAGCTCTATAATCATATAAATCAGGCTGAACATAATAGAATAGTATCTAGTATTAGATTAGGAATAGTTATATACAGTGACAAACAGACAAGTTAAAGCAGCTTTTAAATCGCTGAACATGGGAATAACTAACTATTGCACAATGCCCTCTTACTTAAAATTACTGCTAGGAATCAAAATGGTAAAAAAATCTATAATGCTTCATAATTTATATGCAGTTTGGTTATTTGATTTCTTATACAGGCAGTTTATAGTGTTGTAACTGTAAAAATAACAGATAATTAAAAAGGTTTTTTGACTGCAGGATATTGTTCTGATTTAAATGCACAAAACAGTTAAAATAACAACTTATGTTTTACCTCGAAAAAACTGGGGCAAATGTAGTGAATAATTCATAGGCGATACTGCTAATACTGTTCAAGGAAAACCTGGTACTGTTGACTAACACTGTATTCTAGTCTTACCACTATACACACTTGTGACTAATGTTTAGAAGGAAAAAGAAGAGACAAAAAAGTGACTCATTATTAAAATTTTCTAAATAGTAAGATAAAATAAGAGACTGTACGAACTTCAGTGAAAAAAACAAAACAACATTGAAAAGGCAAATTGGTGACAATTTTGAAACTGTGAAGGAAAAAAAAAATCCTGCTTTTGGTATCTGGTTTGCTTGTTTCTCCAGTTTGACCACTTCCTAGTTTTGAATTTCAAAAAGGTGCATCAAAACACTGATTTATCTTTCTTCAAGCTAGAACTGTAAAAACAAGAGAAGTATATAAAATGTATGGTAGAACAAAAGGATTTCAAAAAAAGGAATATCTGAATAAATGTGTGGATTATAATGCGTAGCATTAGTTAAATTTGTATCTCAAACTTCCATTGAATTCTCTACTTCATAAAGAAGTATTGTAATATACAGGCAAATATAACTGACAAACTTGCAAAGCCAAGAACAATGAGGGCTGCAAACTGTTCATCAGTAGGAATCATGCTCTTTATCTTAGGATCATCTATGCTTCCCATTTCTCCTGCAAGCATGATCTCATTTCGCTGAAGCATAAAGGCAACGGATGGGCTGAAAGGTCCACTAAGTTCCTGTGAGGTATCCAAGCACCGGCGGCAGACGCAGACGCGAAACCGATAGTCTGTGTTGACTTGAAGGCCTGAGATGTGGAATGTGGTCTCTTCTCCCTTGTACACCTTCAAAACAAAACAGCAAGCACAGTCAAATACAAAGAGCAAGACAACCTCCTCCTCCTTTCACAGCATCAAACAATTTAAAAACATAGTAATGTTAGATTTTGCAAGGATTTGGGCCAGAAAGTTAGGTCAAGTCTGAGTCTTGTAAGGAAACATTGCTGCAGCTCTCAAGGGAAGAACTCACTAGGTCAATGCAGGTTTTGGAAAAAGAGAGGCATGTGAGGACTACGTAAGAGACGTCCAACCGTGAGAGGTCTCAATACAGAGTGTTCAACAGAGTCAGTGCACACAAGGACAGACAAGACTTCAGACGATATATCAACCATAAGACGTACTCATCTTTTGTGGGTGCGATAAATACTACAAACGTATTTCTGTACTCTTAAAATGTGACTATATGCCTAAAACATATCTAAGACATAAGCACTGTGTTTGGCCCCAAAAGGAAGAAAACCTGCAAACTAAGGTTATTAGAAGATGTTCACTGTACAATCATAAAATTGGTTACAAATATTATTTTAATGTGCTTTCCTCACATTTCTCTCGAGAGTCAGCAATTTCTCCAGAAATTACACTTTCAGAATTGTGGGAACAATAAAATATTATTAAGGTATAAAAAAGCTCCTCTTGGTTGCACTGTATTTGGTTCTTTAGCAATCCAAACCCACCACGTATTTATGTTAATTAAATGTAGGTACCGTATGACTCAGAGAGCATGAGTCACAATATGAAAAGGAAAGAGATAACTGAATATCTAAGAGACAGTTTTGCAACTTAAATGGCAAAAGACCACTGGAAACATTTACAAACTCTGAAAACAAATAACCAGTCAACAATTTATATAACGGAGGGTTGTTGAAACTGGTATTTTATGAAATGAAAAACATGTCACAAAGTGCCTGTGTCTGCTGGGAAAAAAAATAATCCTGAACTTCAGATACTACTTCTTTTGCTCATTTAGCTGGTTTCCTTCTCGCTGCGGGAGCAGAAGGCTGAGAGCATCGCTGCCCTCCTGGAGGCAAGAAATCAACTTAGAAAAGGGTAACAAGAGGGAAATTAAACCTGAGCCGATAGAGGACTTCCTGTGCGTTACTCTGGAGTAAGAAATACAGGATGAAAAAGAAGAGACACGCTCAGCTAAATACCACTTAAAGAGTCCAGATTTCCTGCCCATGCTTGCCCCTGAGACTCATCCCTCAGTTAAAAAGCCAGTTGCCGATTTCTTGAGAAGGTCTGGGACAAAAGATTAAGGTTTTTCTTTCATTCGTTCTCTCCCCTCCTTTTAAACTTTCACAGTTTTTCCAAATATAGTTTGAATGATGGTGAGACTGAGTTTCCAGATTAAGTAGAAGTCCCCTAACTGGCTCATGTGTCTTGGCCCCAAGGCATAAATCAAGAAGCAATGTTTAAACAAAATTATTTTACCTTCCTCAAGTATGCTCAGCATTCACAGGAAGTTCACTCTAGCTCAAGTGACAGGAATACAACAAATTCATACTGTAAATCTCTGCGATTAACCACAGCTATGCACTGTTGCCTTTCTTGTCGTCTTTGCTTGTCTTCCCAATGCCAATGAGAAGTGAGTCATTAACTTACAGTAATACAGTAATTGCAGGGAAAACAAAACTGCAAGTGCTGTAGTGGTCCATAGAAATCATGTTTCCAAAGCGTACCTCATACCAAGAACGTCTCTGCCACTCTGTTTTCCAATGGCAGTTCCATTTCTAACACCCACCTATTGCGGGCAACTGTCCTCCACCTACTCCATCATCAATGCTACATCTTGTAGGCGGTTAATACTTCAGTTTACTCCCAAATATAAATGATCATGCAAAGAAAAGTTGCATGCATTTGGCACATAAATGTACGTTCAGCAAGTAATTTAAAAAGGATGTGTTCTTCCACAGGACCAGAGTCAGGATTCTTCTACTTGGAGGACTTACCTAACTCCCATTTCTTTAGACTCTGAGACATGATAACTCAAAGCACCTATCCTTACAAAACAACTGTAAGCAAGTTATGTTTTTTGATGCTGTTGTAATTATTAATTTTATTTCAAAAGGTATAATCAGAAGAGCTCTAGATACCTTTGCCACAAATGAACCTTTGCAACCAATACAACCACTTCTAAAACAAAATAAAAGCCCAGTAAAATCCAAATAATGACATCTAATAAAAATTTTACAATCTAATGTTCATGAATTACATTTAACAGATACTAGGGATGGGATATATACAACCTGTCTTTGCATTGAAAAAACCTGCCCAGTTAATTGTTTTTTTACTTGTTTTGTTCTGTCAGGGTGGTGAATACCAGTGTAACTGGAGGCTAAGTTTGGCTAAATCAAAGACCTGCATCTTCATTACAGTCTAATAGATATAGATGACTAAGTTCACTCAAGCCAGCTAGTCAACAGCACTTCTCAGAAAAAGGCCAGACAGTCAAGTGAGAGAAGAGTGCATCGTTAAAGTTTGAAAACCAGTCGAAAGTACATTGAATACATGAATTAATATCCACTAATGATAAAGACAAAACATTTCCTGCACTAGAGCTGGGAAGGTGGTGGAAGTTGTCCTGCTTTCAGTGGTTTGATGAGTATTTAGCATCAGTGGATCTATGTCCTTTCTCAGTAACAGGCAAAAAATTATTGTGCTTAATTGTCATTCACTTCCGACAGTAGCCTCTGTATCCTCCACAACCGTCTGCGCAAGCACCTTGGAGTCACTACTGGCTCCAGCTCGATTTTGTCTGCGTTAGTATCTGTAGGACCAGGCTAAGCCAACGCAGGATGCCCTCAGCACAAAGACATATGCTTGGTTGTGAACACAGTTAGACTCTGTGAATGGACTTCACGTACACAACAGAGAGGAAAAATAATTAATTTGACAATTATGTATAAGGTCTTTAAATTTGCTAAACAGATACTAAACCAAATATGACTGTGTAAAGCAGCATACTTTTTTAATATGTAGCACATTATGCTTTGGTGGCCAACAAGTCAAAGTAAAGTGGCTATCCAATTTATCACTTTCAGTTCCTAAAAACAGCTTTTCTGTTTAGGTACCTGAGAGTATAATAAAAACATGATGAGCTTTTTGCCTGGCTCCCTCAATGAAAATATCATCACAAATAATAAACTGCTGCTGAAGCCTCTTATGGCATTTGATCCTACTGATCAAGCCAGACAGCTCAGAGAATTCCCGTAGGCAAGTATTTCTCAATTTCACCGATGTCATTAAATAATTCCAAACCCTCTCCATCTTTTCCAAATAATAAAAATGACAGCCACAATTGCCCTGTAAGCGACACACTGGAAAGTGTAAGATAACCTTACCTGGTTGTTGCACTCCACTGCAATAACCAGTGTATTTAATAATTAATAAAAGCCTATTTTGTATGGTGATAAGATGACCAAGAATGAGAGGCAGGTTTCAATCTATTTAGAAAGCATGCCCACTTGAAAGGTTTAATTTCTTCTAAATCATCTGACAGATTTCTCTTTAAGAAACTAACTGGGCTTATTATTTTATCCAGGCTCAAAACCAGCTTCCCTCACTCCACTGCTGAGATGCTCATAAACCCTTAAGAGTTGTGCGGACAGCCTTGTCTCCTCAACAAAGCAAATCAGAGTCTCTCAGATCACCTTCCATGAGGTGGGCCGCGCTGAAAAATTCTAACAAAAAGAAATTATTTGCTCTGTCTCATGACACAAAATTGGCATCAGGAGGCACAGAAAATACTCAACACTAAATGCCAATGCGTACTGTACAATTATGTTGTATTTTGGCATGCAACCAGTACAAGTGCCTTTGACTTGCTATTTAAAATAGAGAAGGAAAATCCATTTTTTGCTGACTTAGACAAATTAACAGTGCACTGAATGTGTTTCAGAGATTGGGTGTCTACAGAGTCTGAAACAAAGAAAAAACAATAATAAAAATTAGAGTTTGGCAAGACCGACCGGGTTCTCTCAGACATCCACCTCTCAGTGCAGACCCGAGCAGGCTTCCCAGTGCATTGCTGAGGGATTTTTACACACCCAGTGTATCCTACCCATATCTTTTCTTCTTTTGGAAAGCATGTGGGGACAGTTTTCTCCCAGAAGAGATGTGGCAGAAGCTGATGAAACATCGTTGCCTCCAAATTCTCAGAAATTTCAAAGGTAGAACATTTTGCTTCACTGGCAAACGATTTAAGGATAAAGAAGCTTTAAAACTCAGCTCTCATTTCCCACGGACAGTTCTTACGAAGAGCTGGCTCCTTGGTGATTCGATCCCCAGAGCGGCTCAACTGGGAAACTAAAACTTAGGTTGCCGAGTGTTACGACTGTTATCCCAAGCTTCAGCTCCTGCGCTGCACAACCCAGCCCGCTCCCTGAGCTCCAGATTAAAACTGTGCAAAGCTGGAAACAATTTTAACACACTTGAAAGCTAAGTTCTAACTAAGTAAGCTTTGCCAGACAAAACTCTAAGAGACAGAAAAACAGACCTGGGCCACCGATTCCTGCAATCTGCCGTGATTTACATCCTGATTTGTAAACAAGGAAAATTTGGTTTCCTAAAAAGAACTGTAATGTCATAAGGCCATTGCTTTTTGAAGTATCCGAATAGATAAAGCGTACAAATACAGAAAAAGGAGCACATCGCTTAAGAAACAGGAAAGGGAGTATTTAATATTTTTTTAACACGCTTTTTAGGGAGCTAAATTGTTATCTGTTTAGCTCCTGCAAATCCAGTTCTTCAGACAATTCTCAGCAGAGAAATATTTACAACGTGTTCTCCCAGAGGAGGGCAGGGATGGCTATAGCTCCAGTCTGAAAAGAAGGGCTTTTGAATACTTTGACACCACCTCTGCTAGGTCAAATGGTGGAGGAGCAGTGGCTTTTGGGAGGTGGAGGGCTGCATACATTGGGCTACGGGTGGGGGGAGACAGCTCAGATGTGATGATGTAGAGAGAAACTATAGCTTTACCCAAAGCCCATCAGTGGCTGACACTGCAGCAGAGGAAGGAAATGCTAAAGCGATTTAGCTTATTTTATGAGTTAATGAAGATGATTATTTTCTATAACTTGTATTTGTTTCTACAACATAAACGAGGTGCAAGTACAGACCGGTGAGCTGCTCCTAGGTGTTCTTAGATCTCTCGAGAGCATCATCTCTAGGATGGCATATACAGCAATAGATCAACAAGGAGCTCAAACTTTGAGAGTTAAGAGATGACAATAAGACTTTGTTTTCTCCAATTCATGTTTTATTTCATAATGAGTTTTCTATATTTCTATATTTATTCGTTTTAGATGCAAAACACACTAGAAAGGTGTAATGGTGCCCTACTTTATACTGGTCCACAGGCAGTCCCAGAAAAATCAGTGCTGTGTACTAAAGATCTACGCTGTGTGAATAAGGGAAGTGAAATATGGCCACTTATTTCAGCGTGCACCTGACTCTGTGCCAGAATAAACTCAAGCACACTACTTCATGGTTACTCAGCACAAAGTGCCCAGGTGGATTTTCTCTTCTATTAATGAAATTAATATGGGAGAACATCACATTCTGCACCTTCTGAAGGGCTTCCTAGCGAAGAGCTGGATCGAGATCTGTAATGTAAAATTTTCCCAGAAATAGGAATCGAGTGTCACAACCGTGCCGCCTGAGTGAGGACTTGTGTGAGCTTTCTTACTGAGTCCACTGAGACTCCATGCTCAACACTGTGCCACTCTCTGTGCACAACTGTTCCTCAGTCATGTGATATAGTCACATTTTGAAAAGTCAAACACAATCATCATTAAAAAGTTCTAAGACAGTTTTCACAATGATAGGATCTTCCTTTTCCAAGCTTTTATTTGGATGAAAACACTAAAACCTACCACATAAAGCATACAAAGTTCTTGTCAATAAAATACCATCACACCAGTTTAAAATACATAACACAGTATGAATGCTAAGCCAGTATCAGAAAAGGCATCTTGACATCTTCCCAATATGTTTGTCAGAATAACAGTATCTTTGTAAAATTTCCTGAGGGAGAAACATAGACATATATCAAACATTCTCCCATTTTCTACACAAAGAAAGAGATTGACATCTTTTTCTTATTATATTATTAAGATTATTATATTATATTTTAAGATTAAGATTATTAAGATTATATTAAGATTAAGATTATTAAGATTATATTGAAGGTGAAAGCATCTGAAGATGAGCGACCCTACATGTGATATGAAGTCCTGCACAGCCCATAAATAGCTTGAAATAGCTATTTGTTGCATTTATTTCCATGCCAGTGGGACATAAAAAAATATTTAATGCAGCTATTTTTCTCCTTCTTATCCAGCTATACTATCCCTGGGTCTTGCAAAATGCACTGGCGACTACTATAGAAACTCCAGTCACTTAAAACACTGTTCTTTCTCATGGGCGTATTTAATAGCCTGAAAATCTACAATATTTTTCATTTGTGCAACCCTTCAGAATAATTTGCAAAACTTTTCTAATATAACATGCCCCCTGAGATACGTATGCAAAATATACATGTCACCTGCAGGGAACAAAACAGATTTAAAAGTAAATTTAGGACCTGCACTTAAAATGTAATTAACATCACTAAAATTACTTTTCAGCTGAAGAGTAGCAAGTGATCACACACATGCCACAGCAAAGGTAAAGTGAAATGCATTAACCAGAAAATCACTGAAAGACGTTTATATATTTTATCTCCTATTCATGTAATAGGAGTTAAGAGCACGTGCACACAGCTACTGCAGCTCAGCTAATGGACAGTAAGTCAGTGATATGCCTCAGTGCTGAGAAGACACCCACATTTGTGATGAAGATAAATAATTTTGATGGGTGAAACTGATTTCTGAGACTGTGAAGCAGTGGAACTCTCCCTGTTTTCCACAGCTGGTTATCAGCCAGCCCAACTACATAAGTCACAGTGTCAGCTTTGAGCATCCCAGCTGGGAGCTTCTCCTAGTGAGTCACTTGTGAAAACTCAAGCAAAACACCCCTCAGCAGGTCATGCTTCATGAGAAATGAAGACCTTCAACATAAAACCCTGAAGGTACTTTTTATTTCCTTTATTGCTGGGCTTTTTCATACCACAAATTCTTGGCTGCCAAGATTAAGCCATCACCTACCTTAAAGGAACATGAAGCCACGCCCAATTCTCCCCAAGGACATCCAGAACATTTTAAGCACTGAAGCTACGCTTACTAAAGCTATACGTGGAGGTTATACATCAAGGCTACTTTGTAAATCAGGCAACAGCAAAACGGGTCCACTTATCCACTCACCACTGACATTATGAGGGCAACACAGTACACGGAGGTTTTATTACCTATACCAGCACCAAAAATGTTTCCCGACAAAAACAATAGTTAGGTTTCTGAACCTTTAGCACCCACATGAATTGTCTTGCATTTATGTACGTTATTTTTGATAATTCATTAAGTCACAGTAACACTCAAAAATAGACTGAAGAGGAGCAAAGACAGTTGCAAAGTACTGCCTTATTCATGTTTTTAAAAATTTAATTTAAGGTTTAACATATCTCATTCCCTAATTTGGACTTATTTGGAATCCTTATGACAATGAAAGAAAGGACAGGGAGAAGACAGGGCACAGATGAAGTGCACTGTAAATCACAGTCAGAGGTGTGATAGATGAAATAAAAGATCTAGCTGTGAATGAGTTGTTCTGTTTCAGGTGCTCTGGAGGAATGTCCACTTGTGATCTCTAATCATGATAGACATGGAAAGAAGGAACAGCCGTACTTCATTCACTTTGTTTCCATGGTGCAAGAACGGACACAGTTTCTGTGGGGCAGCTGATATACAGCAGTTACACATCCTTGCACTGAAACCTTAGACAGGAATGGGATGGCTGAACAAACCAATTAAAAGTTGTGTACTTGACTGAAATCCTTGATGGAGGGTCTTGGAATTGGCTTAGTGAATGAGGAAGATAATCTACCTACTTCATCTTCTCATCTTCAGACAACGGTTAGCACCAGCCAGTTGAGACGGCAGCATGGGTGGACAGAATTGTAACTTTTCAAAGGTTAGTTCAGTTAAAAATAGTGATTAACTATGGACAAAGTGCAAATCACTCCAATAAGATAATGTTGTTCTATATACTCCCTCTGGGGAGAAAACAACCTATTACAGCCCTTAGTTTTGACTCAACCTTTACCAAAGTTCATGATGCATCACCATAGGTTGTAATTCAATATAGTAGAAAGAAACAGCACAGTGAAGTTCAAAAACATTTCCATTATGTCATCAATTTAGCAATATTAAACCGAGACCATTTTCCTACCTGCTTGTATTCAGATTCTCTTCCAACCAGTACCTGCAGAACATAACCGACAGGATCTCCCTTCATGGGTGGGACCATTTCCCAGGTAATTTCACAGGCGTTTCCTCCCAGCTGTGTCACTCGAGGGGCTACAATAATATTAAATGCGTTAACGTTTAATATAAAGACTGCATTGAAATCTTATTCATTTTACATTCACTCTAATCTATATGAGAACATTTTAAAAAGAGAACTTTGAGACATCACAGGGGTTAGTAGCACATAATCTGTACTGTATTTATGTGGCTAAATATCAAATTGCTATTACCACTGGATGAAAGTAGTAAAACTGTGGCTAGATTTTTAAGTCACTCAAAGTCACATTTATTTCAGGACAGTCTTATCTGATTAAGCAGTTCAGGATTCTTGTGGTATTAAACAATAACAAACACTGCTCACAGAAAATTGGGTGAAATTTAGAGCTGATTAACAAGCTTCTAAGAAGTTTACTGTAGGACCCAGATCACTTCTGCAGAGGGACAGTAAGCTGTTAGAGCATCTCTCCTCTGCCAGCTATGGGAGCTGCTAGAAAGGGGGAGTGGATGTGATAGAAAACTTTGAACTTTTAAAATTCAGTTGCAATGCTGTGCACTGATCTTTTCAAAGCAGAAGCCAACACACGAATTATGCTGGCATTAATAAAAGCAGTAATTTCATGAGCTTCTGAGCAAACACTTATGCCAGTGGAGACGCCTGCGTATTCCTCCCATGCTAGATGACAGTGAAAGAGAGGAATAATATCAAACGTTTCATTCAGGAAAAACAGGAGAAGGAATGTGAGAAGGGAAGCTAAATAATCTTCTGTATTAGAGATTAAGTCCAGCCTGGGAAACAAAGGTACAAGCGTAATTTTAAAGACTTGGACTCACATCTAACTCTGAGCCTGAAATTCAGATGGTCAGACCTGCTACTTCTAGCCAGGCTTAGACTAGTGCTTTCACTAGAACTCCAGAGAAATTCAATTTGTCAGCTGTCACGATGCTGCCGTCCTTGGGAAAGGATCTCTCATCAGCTGAAAGCCGAAAGTCGCCATACTATGCCTGACGGCAAGCTTGCAGGTAAGCCGAGCAGAGTACTAACAGTGGCAGCATGTTCATATGTACAACTAAGCATCTGCCACTGGAAGGCATCAAAACAACTGCAACAGCATCCGGGGTCCACCAACCTCTTGGTCAGGCAGAGCAAGTCAGCACATGACCAAAAAAATGAAACTGGGAGAAACAACGGTGCTCAACACTTTACCGAGTGGTTAATGTGCACGTGCAAGGACATGAGCTTGTTAAAGGCAATATAGATCCCCAACCCTAAGAAAACAGACAACAGGAGAGCCTATCAAAGAAACAAATGCTGCTGCTGCTGCATACATTACATGAATTTTAGACTAATTCGTTACCACCCAGGAGGAACACATGAATCATACGCGGACCCAAATGTAATCAATATCCATTTGCTTCTCTCCGCACATCTGCCAGTGTTGACAGACTGATAATAGACACCTTCATGTCAGCTGACAACAACATTCTCAATTATTTTCCCTCCTCCTTCCATCCCCCATCCCGATACACGTAGATTTTTGTCTGACACTTACAGAACTGCCATTAACAATAATGCTATTTTAGGGTTGGCATCACTAAGTGAGTAATTAGGATCTTTTATAGGAGAATAAACACGTGCTTCTGATACACAAAAAACTGTACTAAGTTTATCACCCACATTCCTTTGTATTGCTCCGAACGCAGAAGGGAATCAACATCATAATTTTGCCTCAAGAGATCTCTTTTCCCTATGGCATTGCCGCCCCACGGCAGCGTTCACTAATGCAGTTTTTGTTGTGCCCATTTCTTTGTGAGAGCCAGTACTTTGTCATGTACATGTGGTCCTAGCCCACATACGACCTGGTATCTGCACCATATCTTAACTGCTTGATATTCAGTCCAGAGCATGAGTCATATTTAACAGGAACTAAACAGGCAGGCAGGGAGTTCAAAACAAACACCTAGGTGAGATCTGAATTTAATAAAAATAATTTCTATCCAACAAAATGAAAATCTAACTACAGTGCACGCAGGCATCCCTGTGCTAGTTTTATCCACTTAGTGCAGCTAAGAGAAGCAACGGCAATGGCAACGTGGACTCAGCATCCGCAAGTGACACGCACCTGTGCCCAGGCACTCTGACAACTTGCAGATAATGTTAAAGCTGTGAAGCACACCGTCCCTGCTACCGTCACCTATGCCAGCCTGGTTCATCTAGCATGAGCTCCCTTCGCTTTGCTGGGTAGCATATCTTACCACTGAATCAGGATAATTCACTGTTGGATAAGTATATTTACCCTTGAACTTTACACCAAACACATACAAATATCTTCTTCCAGAAACAGCACTGAAGCAAATGCCAAAACCCAGGGGATATCCAGATCCACGTAGAAACGAAGGTGGGATTCTCACATACACTAACTTCAGCATAGTGAAGCCAATCTCCCAATGTTCTCTCTGCACTTAAGACTGTTGTTCTTCCTGGGGGTGATTCAGAGCAGCTAACCTAGGGACCAGGGAAGTTACAACCCAGCAGTGTTTTCCCCTCTAAATCTTTGATCACAAATGGTGTGAAAATCACCAAAGCCAGATTTTAAATACAGCCGAGCAAATGAAACCTCTCTGACAACCTAACAGTTGCTGTTTCTCACAGTAAATGGTACTGCTTGACAAAGGAGTTTTAAGCACGCAGGAAAAAAAGGTGCATCTGATTTCAGCTCGGTTCATTGACAGCCGATACAGCGAATCCGCTGCCTTTGTAATAGTTCTCCTTGGAAGGGAGGAGTAAAATTACTTAGGCCAAAATTTACACACAGTAAGAGACGTTTCATTATAAAACTTCATTTCATAGAATCATAGAATAGTTTGGGTTGGAAGGGAGCTCTAAAGGTCATCTAGTCCAACCCCCCTGCTGTGGGCAGGGACATCTTCATCTAGATCAGGTTGCTCAGAGCCCCGTCCAACCTGACCTTGAATGTTGCCAGGGATGGGGCATCCACCACCTCTCTGGGCAACCTGTGCCAGTGTTTCACCACCCTCAGCGTAAAAAATTTCTTCCTTACATCTAGTCTAAATCTACCCCCCTTTAGTTTAAAGCCATTCCCCCTTGTCCTGGCGCAACAGGCCCTGCTAAAAAGTCTGCCGCCATCTCTTTTTTATAAGCCCCCTTTAAGTACTGAGAGGCTGCAAGAAGGTCTCCCCGAAGCCTTCTCTTCTCTAGGCTGAACAACCCCAACTCTCTCAGCCTTTCTTCATAGGAGAGGTGTTCCATCCCCCTGATCATTTTTGTGACCCTCCTCTGGACCCGTTCCAACAGGTCTGTGTCTTTCTTATGCTGAGGGCTCCAGAGCTGGACACAGTACTCCAGGTCGGGTAATTAGGCCTTTTGTTCTTCTAGGGGAACACATGCTAAGTGTGATAAATAATCTAATGCTTTATGTATGTGAAATATCATTATTGATTTTATAAATTAAAGGAAAAATAAGCTCTGAAGTGCTACACTGAACATCACCTATGCAACTTGAAACAACATGCAACTTTACTAACGCTTAAGTGGGTATGTACACATATATACTACAGCTGTTACATCCTTTGTTGAACTGCTGCAGTATCCAGAGCAATCCCTTGGTAAACATTATTGTTAGTAGCAGCATTTTAACAGTTTATGTATAACAGTGGTTGGTATAATATTTATATTGTTCATATGAAGTTTTTGGTGATAATTTAGCTTCCCACCATAATGTAACTTCAAAATTCACAGAAATATACAAGCAGCACAAACTGATTTTTCACATTATTGCATACTTATGTTAAGCCCTATAAACTCACTGCATACTTACAATTAAATAATTACGTTACTTATGCATATGTAAAAAAATCTATTACATACCTTTGATTGCAGGTGGGACTGACTTGGTTGTGTAGAAGGTACATATTTCTGAGAAAGGTCCCTCCCCAGCATCATTGACCGCCTGTATTCTGAACGAGTAACAAGTGGATTCTGTCAGCCTCTGTATCTTGTATGTATGACTTGGTCCCCTATAAATCGGAATAAACCTGGAAACAATGAAAATGAAAAAATGTAATTACACTGGAGTGGCACTGACATTTCTGGCTACTACACATAGCAGCGCAAGGTATCCATATTGTGAAAATTGGCACAACGTGCTTTGCAGAGCTGTTAAAGGCAAGTATAAAAACAGCATGTTATTAGCACACTAACAATGATTAGTAGGTTAGGGAAAGCAGACGGTCATTGTCCTTTGCAACTAATACTTACCTTGCATATGATTACATGAATTATCAGAAAAAACGTCTGTCAACGCATTTCCTACCACCTAGTAATCAAAACAGATTCAACCTGTGTTCTGCTACAATACACCACATGTGCTGCTGGTTTAAAAGTATATTTAAAACAAGATTAATACTTTGAATCTTTTATTGCTTTATTTGGACTTTATTCGCACATTAAGACCCAAAGACCACATCTTACATTCATCTGTGCCATCCTAAGCCAGAGTAACTCTATTTAAATCAGAACATATGGATTGCATAATATATGTGTGTAATATATTACACACTTCTCAGTTTTGAAGAGTTTACAGACTGAAGGCAGCCAAACAGCAGAGACAGAAACAGATTCAGAGAGAATACATGGTGGTCTATGAGTGGAAAGGCTCAAGGGAAGCATTTCTGTAGAGGGGGATATGGAGGATGGAAAAAGATGCCAGCTTAGGAGCTCTGGGGGACACCTGTACTGACTGCTCTGCTTGAGAGCAGGCTGAGAGGAAGAAAAACACAAGGCACTAAGGAAGAGACTTACAAAATACTTCCATTGACAAGACCAAGCATCAGCACACACAAACTTGTCCAACAATGTAATGCAGAACAAAATTAATGTCACTTAATCTAAAAAAAAGGAAAAAAAAAAAGTAAAACAAAGTACAGGTTACTAGAGAGACTCTGACTTCTATTTTCAATTGCTCTGCTCAGATAAATGCTTTTCTGTAACAGTCATATGTTAGCTAGCAACTTCTAACTGAGATCCTGACCCCCTGGGTGCTGAGCAGAATGGGGATGAGGGTAAATAAAGAGGAAGCACCCAGCATCTTGCATCAACCCACTTAGCCTCCACTGGGGAACAAGGTCTTACTTGAAATAGTCCTGAATCTGAAGAACATAAAATTCAACGCGTAGGATCACATAGTTTTTTTGATGATTTAGTACACTTATTCAAATATCTCAACCATTTCAGCGGATTTTAAATCACCAGGAAGCCAACAAAGAGATTTGGTTTTGACCTCTCTAACTAGGTGCCAGCTTTATCCTGGATAAGTCCTTTGGCTTTGCATGAGATACACAGTATAACCAATTTGAGCATTTCAAAGAAACTGGGTCTGTCATTAGCTCTCAGGGACAGAAATCAATTCATATTGCATTATGATTGAAATCCAGAGAAGTACAAACAGAGAGATCAAGAATCATCTGTAATAAAAAGAAATGTTCAGGTAATTTAAATCACTGGAAATGTACTCTGAGGACTAATGTGACTTACTACCCCCACTGAGTTTTAGTGAGCCCCTCACCTTGATTGGAAATCAAAGATCTATGTCCACAAGTTTTTAAGAGGAGATTTTAGAGCCAATTTCCAAAGAAGAATTTTTTTTTTCAACCTTACGCTTATACAGTTTTAAGGACTGCCTGCTATCCCACGTTTTTGAGGTTCATGTTAAGCAGCTATGGCATGTTTCAAAAGACTGCCACAGACCTGTTCCCATGGAATAAAATTCCTCGGGATTCACTGCGTGATGAACAAAGCACACATACTTAGGACAGCATTAAGACCAAAGAGACAAGACTACTGTCTCTCTCTCCCTCTCCACTTCTCGTAGCTCAATCAGGCAGCTGGCTCAGAAACCACTGCAGTACTCGTAGAAGTGCTGAGACTTGTCTCTGGCCCTGATCCGTGAGCAACAGATAGCAATGCAGTATTTTAGACTAATGACCTCTTTGTAACCATCCGTGGAGCTAGGTAAGCAAGGGAGGATAAATATACCTTACCAGCTACCACACAAGCACGCCCATATCCCAGTTTGGGCTTATGGTACATTTACTAGACATATTTATATGATGAATACCTATAACTTAGTCCTGAAATTACACTTTCACCTTTTGAATATGATTAAGGTTTCGTAACACTGAAAAAGTAATCTGGCAAAACACTTGAGCTCCTCCTGTCATTTGGGAATTGGACTAAAACTTCCATCTCCAGAAGGAAAGGAAAGGGGTTTCCATCTCCACCCCTTTCTACCTCTCTATCTCAAAAAACATCTGTATTGAAAGCAAAAGCCGTTATGGAAAAGCTTGCATCCATGTTCAATACACAAGACTGTAATGGAAGCACACTTAAACTTCTGAGATTCAACCATCTTTGAAGAAAGAGGGCTTCAAATTTGGAATAAGAAAGGCTGATTACTAAGTCAATCAAATTCAATTGCTGTTAGGCTTTACTATGACAACAATGCTTTGTAATTGTGTTTGAAGATGCAGATCATGATGTAAGAAACATAATGAAGATGAAACATTTTAACTTCAAAATGCTAGCGATTTTTAGATAATAATGTAGTATTTTCCTCATGTCTAAAGTAGGTACTTCATACTTCTCCAGAATTATTTCTGTTATTTTTAAAAATAGTGTAGTTACTTGATGTAGATGGCTATAGACTTGGAGACTTATCCTACAATTGTTTTTCAGTCTCCCAGGTTTTCTGCTGAAGGACCGCAATGAACTTAAAGTTGAATCAATCAGTGTGATTGCACATTGCTACTGTGATGTCTGCACATTAAAAATTGTCTAAAGGAAGATAATTTGTCATTATTATTGTAAGTTGTTTTTCTAAATCTAAAGATACTTTAAAAAGCACATTTAAACATGAGCTCTATATACCTTTGCCCTCCTGGCAAGGCTGACGTTGTTCACTGTGCTTTATCCAGGCCCTGTTCCATACCTTTTCTTAAGAACAAGCCAGCTTTGAGCTTGTTTGCAAGGACTTAATCTCTTATGCATTTAAAAGTTGACTTAATCTGTGTATGGAAAAGCTCCCACGTTCTCTATCTCCCTCTCACCTTCTTCCAGCCTCTACTCAGTTCTCCACCTGAACACGGACAATGAGTTTTCCTTCTCAGATGCTGTGGGATGCCATAAGCATGGTCATTAACAAAGCACAGCCATGAAAAATCTTTCTGGCTTTTCAGGGTGATCGCTGAAGTATACTGGGAGGGTGGATTTTTTTCTACATCCCACTTCACTTACCTAACAGAGCTTTACGTCATTCATAAACTGAATGTGAGAAGACTCAAGTCCCAGTCTCCATAGGGCAGCAACACAACTTGCACATCAAGCCATGGGAGCTGGGAGGCTTGTAGAGGAGCCATGTGCATTGCCTCAAGAGAGCTTCCTCCATCCCTCCTCCCCGCACAGCTAAGCTGGAGCTGAGGGATGGGCACACGGTTGAACATGACCGAAATACTGCAGCTTGACAAACTGCCACTTCTTGTCCCTTCAATCAAAACGGATATGCTTTTAGCTGCAACGTTGACAAAGTTAGTTTAGACTTTAGTGAAATTGCACCCAAATACTAATACGCTGATGTTTGCAGTGAAGGTCCCTTAGGAAGTGTGGCAGCTACACCTGCCCCAACCTCCCTGAGCTGGCTGTTCCCATCCCCATGCTGCTCCTTCAGTACCAATATTTATAGGGCTAAAAGGTGAACTGGATTTGAGAACTAATAAAGGTTAAAGATCTCCGTAAATTGATAGGCTTATATTGGATTAGTTCCTTAGCTGGTCCAATGTTACATTAGGACAGTTGTATTGGTAAAACTGGGGATAGTACAGAGACACAAGTGGATTAAACAAACCAAAAGTGCTCCTGTTCCTATACAGGAACACATTTATAGCAATATGTGTGTTTACTTTGGTTTCTTCATCACTCTCCCCTTCCAAGACAGACAAAACCAAAACACAAAACATGCTCAAGTGCATCTCAGCCACGTGTGTTCATTCTCCAACCCCTACCAACTCAGACCATTCGTATGAATCCCTGAAGTGTGCTAATAAGCACAAAGAAATTTTCAATTCTAAGAGGTTTGCCCAGCTGAATTTAAAAGACAGTAGGCTGCCTTTGAAAAAAGACTACCTCTGCGGGTTAATGGCATTCTCAATACAGTTGCATTTTTTTTTTTTAAGTTTGCACCATCCACAAGTAAATCTGTATTATTCAAATTTAACAAGCTGCAGTGTCGCCTCTCCTCTCCAGTAAAGTAACAGCAGAAACGGAAAAGAAAGCAGCTTTCTCCAGGGAAGGAGACACTCCTCAGAGGCTACTTCCCCCTCATCTCACTCGAGCGATCCCAATTCTCCCCTTCCCAGACATTATCACGTCGGTCACGGATTATTCATTTACTTACACACAGTGGAAGAGAGAGAACACAATGTCCTAAAACGATTGTTTGGGAGACACCACTGCTGTTAGTTCTTCATCAATATCTTTTTATTCTCAGTGAAGATCTTCTTGGAAATGTTTTACACGTTGCAGCTATTTTGTTTCCTCCACTTTAGTCACTTCCAGTCGAGCAGAAGGATATGAATGTACTCGCTCTACCTCCGCTCATTAGTTCTCAGCACATTTTAATCAGCAGGTTCCTTTTCAAACTCTTGGGTTTTGTTTATATTTTAGTAACCCATTTGTCCTTACAACAATTTAATTTGAAATAAAATCTACTGTACAGCACTAAATAAGAAGCAATCTTGAGCCAAGTACAAAAGCTAAAATAGCCATTCAAATGATTTTGTTACTGCCTCCCAGAAAAATGTGGTTATCTGCCACAATTTTGGCTGGAGAGAAATCATTAATACAGCACTGGTCTGACCTGGCGACCTGAAGCTTCGTTTCAGCGTACATGGGCAACTGCATAATTAGAAACTAAAGTACATGAATTTCATAAATCAACAGCTCTTAATATTATTATTATTGCAACATTATCTGCACAATTATA